AACCGTTAAACAGCCTTTGAACAGCGCAGAGGAAGTTCAGGTTTAAATTAGAGCTCAAGTTAAAGTTCAGCAGGTACCCGAGGATTCTTCCATTTAAAACATCTGATGTGAAGATTTGAGTATTTTAATGTGTCTGAATCATTCTGAGGTTTAAACTGAACAGTTCAGCCTCAACAAACAGCAGGAAAATCCAGATTTACACGAAAGCATTAATAAAAATGATCTAAATATCATAATAAAACAGTCAGAGGTCGATTTCCTGATTACACTCACATACTTTCAGTAACATTCCCACGGCAGGACTTTTACTTGGAACAGAGTACTTGTACAGTGAGGTGTTAGTACTTTTACTTAAGTAAAGTATCCGAGTACTTCGTCCAGGCCTGGTTAGTGACACATGAACCAAAGTGGGTCTGACTGGATTCTGGCACCAAACTGAGCCGCAGAGTCTGGAGCTGGTTTCAGTCTGAACATGAAGGTTTAACACTGAGTCTGATGTGACCACAGCTCACACAGGACCAGGGTCCGGACCAGAATCTAGACCTCGGGTCACACGGTGACTAACTGACCAATGAGAACGCAGCATGATGCATGCAGCCGTCATGGTAACCAGGTTCTGTCTGAACAACTGGACCTTTGTCGCAGCAGAGAGATGCATGCTGGGAACTCCGGGAGTGTTTCTGAATGTGGTATACAAATATTCAGATCATGTACTCATGTAGCAATACTACAATGCAAGTATTATCTGCCTAATGTACTTCATCAAATAAAAGTACTCATTTGCAGTAAAACAGCCGTCAGAGCTTTATTTTAATTATTATTATATATATTATTATATATATATATATATATATATTATTATATATTATATATTATTATATATATTATATATTATATATGTATTATTATATATAATATATATTATTATATATATATATTTATATTATTACATATATTATATTATTATATATATATATTATTATATGTATTATATATATATATATATTATATAATATATATTATATTATTATATATTATATATTATATATTACATATATAATATATTATATATATATAATTACATATATATTATATTATTATATATTATATATATTATACTTGATGCATAAACATGTTGTAGCTGCTTTATTTATGATATAAATATATATTAATCTATGTCAGAGCATCAGATTTAAAAGGAGTTTTAAATTTATTTAAAACTTTTAATAAAAGTTTAAAAGTTTTAATATTTGGACCTGGACGTTAATGTTGCACCAGAAAACATTGTGATATCTGAAGATTAATTTGTACTTTTACAATAAAAAGCTGAAATATTCCAATTTGATAGAAAAATCTAACACTTTCAGATAAAGTCATAATTTTATGACATAGTTTTATTTTAAAAAGACTTTGAGATACAGTTTTTAATATTAAAAGCCTTATAAAGAGGAAAACTGTACTGCATGTGTACATATGATGTACTAGTATAACTTCACTGGAGGCACAGGATGAGGTTTTTATTAATAATCCATGCAGCTGCAGCACCGAGGACACAAACAGTCCACAGAGTTTAAACAGAACCGGTCCTGTTGCCAGCGGAGACGCTGAGCAGCGTGCTGATGATGATCGCACCGAGAGGTCCCTGAACACATCACACACACGCGCACACACACACAGCCTTGTGGGGACCTCTCAGTGACTAAATGAACTCTAACCCAAACCTGGACCTGATTCTGACCTGGACCCAGACACGAGTCCCCACCAGGACATAAGAACATGAAACAGACACAGCAGGTCCAGCTGAGTCCATCTGTTCAGTCTGAAGGTCAAACTGAGCCGCCTCCCTGCAGCAGCTTCATCATCATCATCATCGTCGTCGTCTGTGGAGAGGACAGCTGCTCTTTTTCTGTCTGACGGCTGAAACGTCTTTGTCTCGTTCTGTCATTTAAAGGAAGGACGCATCTGATGACGGTGACGTGACCTGAGTCCACTTCCGGCGCTGGAGCCAGAACCTGCAGATGGATTATGGTTTACAGACGTCTCCACTTCTGATTCGCTCATTTCTGAAATAATTATCAGATGATAAACTAACCTGTTCCACACCTGAACGCTGACAGCAGGTCTCAGAGCGTGAGGCTGATGGAAGCAGCGGCTTCAAGACACGTCTTCCATCTGATGCAGCTGAAAACATTAATATCTAGAATGTTTTGTTATTTATATTTTACAGGGGCTGAAGTAACCAGAGGAAACCTCACGTCTCTGAGAAAATGTTTCTACTTGTCAGCTGATTTATTCCCTCAGTAAACACTTTCCTGATGAGTTTCTGGTCTCAGTCGCTAGTTTCAAGTCTTCTTCAACACAGCATGATGTTCATTTAGTAAATTATGGTCCCATTTAGAGGAACAGAGACCAGGAAGCAGGGGAGGCTTTAGGGCAAAATCAGATTTGGGTCACACTGACCTGCAGGCTGAACGTACAGATGCACATAGCTGAGCTAGCTGGCCAGCTCCACACTGAGCCACGCTGTCTCGTCCAAATGTGGTCACGTCCGGTGCTAAAAACTCAACATGGCGGTCCACAAACCAACGGGTGACGTCACCATGGCTACGCCCACCTCTTCCATGCAGGATTAAACCAGAGTCTCAGACTGTGAGGAGACTTTTAAACGCTGATGAGCCGGCAGTTTCTCTGCTGCTCTGAAGTAAACCTCATCCTGGTTAAAGCCGCTCTGATCCTGCAGACGTGTGGTTTGATTCTGCAGGAAACAGGATCTCAACGTGAGGACAGAGACAGAGGACAGAGGACAGAGACAGAGACAGAGGACAGAGACTGGGACAGAGACAGAGGACAGAGACAGAGACTGGGACTGAGACTGAGACTGAGACACACACAGAGACAGAGCCAGAGACTGAGGACAGAGGACAGAGGACAGAGACTGAGACAGAGGATAGAGGATAGAGGACAGAGACTGGGACACACACAGAGCCAGAGACTGAGACAGAGGACAGATACTGGGACAGAGACACACACAGAGCCAGAGACTGAGACTGAGACAGAGGACAGAGGACAGAGGACAGAGACTGGGACTGAGACACACACAGAGCCAGAGACTGAGACAGAGGACAGAGACTGGGACAGAGACAGGGACAGAGACACACACACAGAGACAGGGACAGGGACACACACAGAGCCAGAGACAGGGACAGAGACACACACAGAGCCAGAGACTGAGACAGAGGACAGAGACTGGGACAGAGACAGAGACAGGGACAGAGACACACACAGAGACAGAGACTGGGACACACACAGAGACAGAGACAGGGACAGAGACACACACAGAGACAGAGACTGGGACACACACAGAGACAGAGACACACACAGAGACAGAGACTGGGACAGGGACAGAGACTGGGACAGGGACAGGGACAGAGACACACACAGAGCCAGAGACACACACAGAGACAGAGACAGAGACAGGGACAGAGACACACACAGAGACAGGGACAGAGACAGGGACAGGGACAGAGACACACACAGAGCCAGAGACAGGGACAGAGACACACACAGAGACAGAGACTGGTACAGAGACACACACAGAGACAGAGACTGGGACACACACAGAGCCAGAGACAGAGACAGAGGACAGACAGGGACTGGGACACACACAGAGCCAGAGACAGAGGACAGACAGAGACTGGGACAGGGACAGAGACACAGAGACAGAGACAGAGACTGGGACACACACAGAGCCAGAGACAGAGACAGAGGACAGACTGGGACAGAGACAGAGACAGAGACTGGGACAGAGACAGACACAGGGACAGAGACAGAGACAGGGACAGGGACGTTGTGGAGTCTGAGCCGGCAGTTTGACTGAGCCGCTGTGTTTCAGCCTGAATGTGATGAACTGTCGACTGTTTACAATCTGAAAGACTCGTTCATATTTCATGTGCAGGGCGGCGGTTTAACTGCGAGCGCTGATATAATAACCCACAGTGTGTGTTGGGGGGGGGGGGGTCGCCCCGCAGGCTGGACTCCTGATGTGACTGGTTTCTTAATGAGTCGGGAGGCTGGTACAGTTCAGCAGGCTTGAAGGAACAAGAATCACTGGTGCCAGAAAGAAAGAAGAGAGTTTATGAAACATAACAAAACAGCGAAGAGACAGAAGAGAAAAGCCAAGAAAGGAAGTCACTGATTAAACCGGAGCCTCTGCACTCTGCACAAATCAATAAAGCGTCTCTCCTGCTGACAAACTGTCTCCGTCCTCTCTGAGTTTCTGGACCTGAAACCTGTTCAGCGTCCCAGCAGGACGTGCAGCTGCTGGTCCTGAGTTTCTGGCCTCTGGGGGCGGAGCTTTGGCTCATTAGCTGCACCGTCATCACAAAGCAGAAGTTAGCTGACAACAAAACTCTTCTCTATAATTATATTGCTTCATTTTATTATCTACAGAAGTTACATGAAAATAAAGTGTTTCCTAAAATGAACGACCTCCCAGTGTCCAGAGCCGCCAGAGGAAAGCTCTGTACTCAGGGGACAACGCCGAGAGAGAAACTCGACCATCTGAGGAGGAAACCGTCTGCAGACCGACTGTCAGCCAGTGAAAACCTTTGCTGCATTATCAAACGTCAAATACGACAAAGACTGAAGAGCAGCTGAGAACTGCAGGAACAGGAGAAGGTTCCAGTTTCCAGACTCCAGCAGTCTCCTCAGATCCCGGACCAGGTCTCACTTTCAGCGTCTGATAAGAGTCTTTGTGCTATTTTCAGTTTAATTTGGGGTTCACACGTTTCATACATTCGTTTTTCTTCTCTGGAAACGGGGGGCTGGAGGTCTTCAGATCACTGAACTCAATGGACTGTGAACTGAGTTTCAAAATAAAAGCAGTGATCCTCCTGACAGAGCTGAAAGTGAGACCTCGTCATGAAATCAATCTTTGTGGACGAGTCAGAAACACAGAGTTGGTGAAGTTTCTTTGTTTCGTACGAGACAAATAAAAAGAGTTTGAATGAAAACATTTATTGTGTAAAGTCCAACTCAGATATGAACAGCACATTCATCAGTTTCAATGTTACATAACTCAAATATTACAGGAACAGGAAACTAAAAGATAAAGAGCGATTACAGGAAGCAGAAAGTAAAATCAAAGCGAGGCAGTTCACCTGAGGTTACAGAGTTCAGTCTGACACTTTAACATGTAAACAAAATCCAAAGCCTTCAGACTCTCAGCTGGCTCCAGGTCCAGGTTTTAATCCCGACAATAATCTGTCAGCTGATTAAGTTTAAAGCGAAGCTGCTGAGTGAGAGCGGATCAGAGTGAAACTGCTGAATAAAGTCTAAAAGTGATTTTAAATGTGTTTTACTGTGTCAGTTATCTGTTTGATTTTATTTTGAAGGTCACATCGAACCTCTCTCCACAGCAGGAACAGAATCCTCTTTATAAGGATCTAATTGGCCGAGACGTTGTTACATCTCTGAACATACGGATTCTCAAAAACCAGCAATACAACCCCCGTCCAGTAAAAACCACGTATCTCCAAAGATGAACTTGTTGCCCTGTGAGCTGACGATTCTTCTTTTAAAATGAATCATTTAAGACCTGAAGGAGGACGTCAGCACAACAAGCTCGTGGAAACTGAATGGAAAATTGGAGATACGTGGTTGTCACACTGCGGTTTTCCCTGTTGAGTCCACTGTCCGTCCTCAGGTTCAGGTTCAGGTTCAGGAAAGATAAGGGGTCTTCATGGTTCAATGACAGACTTGAAGCACTAAACTGGACTTCTTGACCTTTCCAGTCTTGAACCCAAAGCCCAGTCTTTCCTGAACCAAAGTGGTGTAGTATCTCAGGCTGACACCACGTGGGTCTCTGCTGACGAACCAGCCACCCTGACCTCTGACCTTCGGCTCACGCACAGTACGGAAACCTCCTGAACTGCAAAATAATAATACAGATAGTCCCGACAGCAGACGGGTTTCCTTCAGATCCAGGAGGCGTGTGGGCATCATTTCTAGGACAGAGGCACTCAGCTCTTCTAAAAGCAAAGCGACGTTTGGTCAGTTTGTCTCGGAGCTGTGAGCAGTTCAGCCAGACGGACGTTTCCTTATCAGATTGTTTCGTTTCAAAAGTTTTTTTAAGTCCTGAAGAGGTTAAAAAAGTAAAAATGAAAGAACTGTTGCAGATTTAAACCCCTCTGATTTACAACACAGGATTACAAAATGATTTACAGGCTCGGGTCAGGTTTGGACTTTTAGATACCAGCAGGCCCCAAGCTGAGCTCCAGAGATCTTTGGGCTCAGGGGGGGAAGTTCCTGGTCCACAACAGACGGACGAGCCCGCCGGGCGTCCTCACATGGTGAAAGACGAGCCGTTGTCGCTGGATCCGTCCACCGAGCGGCGAGCGGACATGTAGATCTCGGAGGTGACCCTGGAGAAGCGGCGTGGGGCGATGTACCTCTTCCCCAGACACCACAGGTCCTGGACGATCCTCCTGAAGTGGTTCCTGAACTTCACCCCGACGAAGGCGTACAGCACCGGGTTCAGGCAGCAGTGCAGGTAGGCAATGGTCTGCGTCACCGTCTTGGCAGTGAGAATGACGTCCGCAAATTCACACGTCTGCTCCCCGAACATGTTGACGGTGTCGAACAGCAGCGTGACATTGTAGGGCAGGTGGCAAATGATGAACACCGCCACCACGGCCAGCACCACCCGCACCGCCTTGTGCCGCTGGAAGTTTCTGGCTTTCATCAGGGTGATGATGACGCCGGTGTAGCAGAAGACCATGATGAGCAGCGGAAGGAAGAAGCCCACGGCCAGCTGGGTGCTGGGGACCGCCACCTTGGTCATCCAGGCGGTGGAGTTGTCCGAAAACTGAAACTCACAGACGTAATGATGAGCCTCGGAGGTCTGGTTCACCATCGTGTCCTCCATGAAGGCTTCCAGGGTGTGGGAGGGCTCATACCTGCTGTAGAAGTAGAAGGTGGGGAAGGACAGCAAGAAGGCGGAGGCCCAGACGATGGTGCACATGACGCGGCTGTACTGCAGCGAGCGCAGTCTGAAGCTGCGGCGTGCCTGGACGATGGCGATGTAGCGGTCGGTGCTTATGCAGGCGAGCAGCAGCATGCCGCTGTACAGGTTCACGCTGTAGGAGCCGCGCAGCAGCTTGCAGGCCGTGTTCCCCATCGGCCACTCCGACAGCTCGTTGTGGACGATGAGAGGCAGCGACACCACGAACAGCAGGTCTGCGATGGCGACGTTGAGCAGGTAGACGTCGGTCATGGACTTGGCCCTCTTGTAGCAGGCGTAGGTGACGATCACCAGGCTGTTCCCCACAAAGCCCAGGATGCAGATGATGGAGTGGATGTACGGGCCGACCACCAGCTCCACGCTGTGGTTTTTCTGGTGAGAACAGGGTCCAACCCAGTTGCCATAGTCATAGGTGTCATTAAGGGTGTCATTTAATTGGTCGTATGAGTAGTCGGCCATCTTCTTCTTCTGCTGTAAACAAAGCGAGCAGAGACAGAAGATTAAACTGTGAGGATTTCTCATGAATTCACTCTGAAGTTTGAACGTTTGGAAAATCAAGCAAAAGATTTTGGTTTTCGGGGATAAAGAGAGAAAACAAAGATTAGCGGGACATTTACTGACAGCCATAACTGTGTAACTCGCCTTCAAGCTGGTTTTTGAACGAATGAATCGATTATTAACGTGCTGATCAGTGAGCCTTAGAGGTGCTGATAGGTGGAATCCGTTACCTTCGGACAGAGCTAGCCGTTTCCCCTCGGTTCCAGTCTTTATGCTAAGCTAGCCAGCTGTAGCTTCACATTTACCTCTCCGCAAGAAAGAGCAGAGGATTTCACTGAATGTCACACTGTACCTTTAGAAACTGAGTCAAACACTGACGCTGACTGTTAAAGCCGGACGCTAAGCAGAAGTAAAGCTCTCAGCGTGACGACGAACAACAACTGGAGTCCCGACGCTGTAGAGATTGAAAGTTAAACCCTCTGAGGAATTCAGTGGAGAATGCGGAGATGGAGTCTCTGATCATGAGGTTACAGCTTGTTGAACCAGTTTACAGGTAGCAGCTTGTCATACTGACAGCAAGAATGTGAACCCTGTCTAACCTGGTGTCAGCTGTAGTTTTGTTTCACTCATGGAGGCTAAATCCACGTTATCCAAGTTAAACTCGAACACAAAAGCTGCTATAAGCGACTTGACAGGGAGCGAGCTACAACATTAGCTGCGTCTCCATAGGGCTTCTATAAATCACTCCACAGACAGAAGCCCATTGAACAAAAGCATCTTTTAAATTAACATTTTGTCTGTAAGCAAACGAGCTAGCTGTCAGTCAGCCACAGTAGCTCGCTGTGTGTTGACCGTATTTTAAATTTAGCGTCTCCATATTTTTAATACTGATTTCCTCACAGATGGTATCTGATGTAACAATCACTTTATGGCTTTGTTGGAGAGCTGAGAGTCAAGGTCAGCGTCAGAGCCCAGCGTGGAGCCTGTTTCACTGGGTTGAATTCCAGTTAAGAACCAATTAAGGCCTAATGACAGAAGGACTAGAAGAGACTTTCTGTGGACGGAGAGATCCTGAGACTCTAAGTCCTGACCAATAAATCTGTTTAGAGGTTTGTTGCTTCTGTTTAGTGTCGTTAAGGAGCTTCATGTCGGTGGAATAGTGCTAAAGTGGTTGGTAATTGGTATAATAATTAATGCTATATCTCATCCCTACTTTTTATTACGTTGCTACCAGGCTTCAGTCTAATGCAGAGCGGCGTGCGTTCTGTGTGCACCACCTGAGGACAACTTCTTCTTCTTCTTCAGTTTCTTGGCTGCCTTCACGCTGCTCCACCTGGAGATGCTTTATTAAGCTCTGTCTCACACAACCAACACCTCCTCCATCACAGAGACGATGATCACCGTCAGCTGGATCGTTTCATATAAAAGGGTTTAATGTGAACGTGAAGAAGAATGTGTGAAATGTGGGATTGATGCTGAAGACGAGTGTTCGATCAGACTCTGCATCTTTTAAACAGCAGCAGACATTTGTAAAATCTAAAGTGTGTGTGCAGCTCAGACAGTCCTGTGAATTTAGTTTAGATTCTGGATCTTCTACCTGCTGAAATATCCTGTTTGATGTTTATCAGAAAACAGAAATGAACATTTTCACTCTGACTTTTATTCGTCTGATGTAAAAACCACCAGAGTAATCTACACACGATATTTAAATGTTACGAAAGCAGCAGAAATGTCAGAGCTGGTAAGAAGTGATGAAAATGTTCCAGTTGTGGTCGCCTGAGGTGGTGAACGTGTGAATGTTTGTTCTCAGGTGTCTGAACGCTCAGAGGAAGTTTGCAGAAAAAGAGGTCAGTTCAGTCTGAAACACTGAGTGACCCAGTTCATGTGGTTTCTTCTGTTCTCTGAGGTTTCGATTAAAATGTGCCTCCTGCAGATCAGGCAAAGGCTCACAGGTCTGCTGAAGACGTTTAGGGAGATTTTCATGATTTCAGATCAGTGGAAGAAGAACGGGGAGGAACAACGCAAAGAGACGCCGAGTCCGGTCAGAAGATAAACCTCCTGAAACAACAGATCTTCACTTTTAGTCCTGGTCCGGTTCCTGTTTCACACACGAACCAAGAGGAGTAACCGTGACGTTACACAGACTGACAGGTCGCTTGTTGATTGGACAGCTTTAACGACTGTGATCCTGCATCATCAGGACCCACGTGGGGAAACGAAACCTCGGTGACCGACAGAAGTTTGTGCAGCACTTTAAGCTTCTGACCTGCGTCGCAAAGAGTTCACGAAGCGATAAGTTATTCTAAGCACGATTAGTAACGTCAGACCGCAGGTGTGAACGATAACAGACAAACAGGACGTGTGCAGGAATAATTCAGCTTATTAGCCTTCTGTATGCTCCGATATGGACTTAATGCACTGACAGGGGAAACGAAGCCCTACTGGCCCTTTTTAATCATTATGGAAAATACCTGCGCGTATATCTCAGCAAATGATTTTCATAATCACAGCATAACTCAGACACATTTCAGTCAGACCATTTATTAGAGGTTCAGCTTTGGAGATAAAGATCACATCAGACCCCGACCCTGCAGTCAGACCCAGACCCTGCAGTCCTGCAGTCAGACCCCGACCCTGCAGTCCTGCAGTCAGACCCCGACCCTGCAGTCCTGCAGTCAGACCCCGACCCTGCAGTCAGACCCCGACCCTGCAGTCCTGCAGTCAGACCCCGACCTTGCAGTCCTGCAGTCAGACCCCGACCTTGCAGTCCTGCAGTCAGACCCCGACCTTGCAGTCCTGCAGTCAGACCCCGACCCTGCAGTCCTGCAGTCAGACCCCGACCCTGCAGTCAGACCCCGACCTTACAGTCAGACCCCGACCTTGCAGTCCTGCAGTCAGACCCCGACCCTGCAGTCCTGCAGTCAGACCCCGACCCTGCAGTCAGACCCCGACCTTACAGTCAGACCCCGACCCTGCAGTCCTGCAGTCAGACCCCGACCTTACAGCCAGACCCAGACCCTGCAGTCAGACCCCGACCCTGCAGTCAGACCCCGACCTTGCAGTCCTGCAGTCAGACCCCGACCCTGCAGTCCTGCAGTCAGACCCCGACCCTGCAGTCAGACCCCGACCACTAGAACCAGTCTGGAGGTGGACTGGTTCTAGTGGGACTGAGAATGGTGGAGCAAACAAGTTGACCTGAGCGCAGACTTCTGGACTTTGGGCTGCACAGACTCACACGATGGCGTTCATTAAATACAACCACTGCATTACATAGCGAGGTGGGGAGGTGATGGAGCAGTGGATAGGCGCCTTTGGTGTGAGAAACCCGGGTTCAATTCCCACTGTGAGACACCAACGTGTCCCTGAGCGAGACCCCTCGTTGCTCCGGGGGCGTGCGACCTCTGACATGTACAGCAGCTGGAAGCCTCTTTGGATAACAGCGTCAGCTCGATGAGTAAATGCAGTGTGTGGTCTCTGCGGTGTGTCGGCTGCGCTCTTTGCTCTGCAGCCCGTGTGTGTTTGTGGCTGCAGCCGCTGTGACGTCCACACTGTTCTTATGCATCTGTGTGGTTTTATTCTGCTGTTAAAGGTGCAGCTAGCTTCGTTCTGCAGCATCGTATCGCTTGTTGACCCGCCTCAGTGTCCAGGACTCTTTAACTGTGCTTGGTCATTGCAGTTTAGCTGTTGTTCCAAACCTCAGCTGGATGTGGTGTGAAGCTGCTTTAATAATCCTCATAAAGTAACTCTGACTTCATGACATCTGGCCTTACGGACTGGAATCTGCTTGTAAACACTCAGGAACTTTCTACACATGAAGCTCTCAGAAATAAACCCTGTTCCGCGGTTTCGCTCTTCTGTCAGGCGGCAGATAACAAACTAGTTTAATTAGAAGCGGCGAGTTCCTCAAACGCCTCGTGTTCCCGCTCTCTACTTCTGCTTGCCGGACACGATGCAAACATTAAGCCGCAGCTCAGTTTGTCCTCTCTGACTTCCCGTAATTCAAATGTCACCTGGAGAAACATTAAACCAGCGCTCGCTTTCTCACCAACACCGACATCATCAACCTGCCCTGTCACCTGTGCAGGTGTGTTTAAGGACTTCCTGAAACCCTCAGCTGAGCTGTACTGTGGGTGTGTACAAGTACTTTCCTGCACTAGCTATCTGTTCTGTGTACGGTAACAGTACGAGGTCAGTTTTCAGGGGGCTCCACTCTACGTTCTCATCATCAATCAACTCTGTACGCTAACCAATCAGAGAGTCCCGTCCTGTGACTCATGTCAGGGGTCACAGACACTGAAACTTCTAGTTTTATTTGTTTTATTATTTCAGGATGTCTAACAAAGCAGCTGTGCAGCTGGCTCCCTGCGCGTCACACGTCTGCCGTGAACTCAGCTGCAGCAACGTTTTCTAACTATTCTTCACGTTCCAGTTTCGCTCCCTCGTACCAGGTGTGTGATGTAGCCGCTTCACCTGGCTAATAAATGCACTTCACTGCGTCAGACTGACAGGAGCTCGTTTTGCTTGCAGGTTTAAGTAGGTTCAAACAGCCGCAGACGCTGTGAGCAGGTGTAACGGCAGAAACAGACGCTGAGAGCTTTGATCAGAGCTCACAGACGGGAATGTGATCCTGAACGAGGTATTTTATCTCATTATTAGTTATAATAATAATAATACAGAGGCGTCCCCCAAATGAAATGTATTATTATTATTCTTCTAAACGCCTGTCAAAACACAGCAGACAGTTTCTTTTAAAAGCAACAAGCCTGTAGAGCGTATACCTTAGTGCAGTATTTGTGTACAAGTAGCAGCTCTGTTTAATGTTAAACTGGAGGGTTACTGTGAAATGAGATTCTTTCTGTCCGTCTGCAGCAGCTGATATTAACGTTTGCTCGTCGGCTCACGTGAAGCATTTTGGCACTTCTTCTGTGGTTTAAACTGAATACATCATCTTTCTTTAAACTTCACATCCTGTTAGAGATAAAAAGACTAAACGCAGCCTCGTGGGACGACGTTAGATGTTATCAGGCAGATTGGACAGATAACATCATCTCACGTTTCCCCAAAGTCAGGAGACGAGAACCAAAAACCTGAGCTAGATAAACGGGAGCTGCATCATTTCAGATCTTTCAGACAGACAGAAAGCAGAAGTAGCCGGCGGAGGTCAGACTGCGAGCCAGAAAGAAACTGCAGAAAACGAAGAAAACGAGGAGTGAAAAGCAGAACTCACGTCTGGGAGCTGCTGGTTTCCCTCGTCGCTCGGCCAGGTGATGGAGGAGGTGATGGTGCGGCGGCGGCTCGCTGAACACACTGCTGATAACGGGAAACGTGTGTGTGTGTGTTTCTGAACGTCTTCCTCTTTCATCTCTCTCTCTCTCTGTTTCAGCAGTGCTCGCTCTGTCACCTCTCTTTGGTGTTAAAGGTTTCCTCAGAAACTGCTCATTAAGGTTAAAGTTTAATCCCTGCAGCCGCTGGCTGATCTGAAAGCTTTAATAATCACACACATATACACACCTGTGTGTGTGTGTGTGAGCAGATGTGACAGGGTTGTGTTTAAAGATGAGACAGATTTCCTAAAGCTGCTAACAGGAACTGCTATCAGCTGATTCAGCTGCTTTCAATACTGCTAATTTCACAAACATGTAAATAAACCAGCGAAATTCTTTTTTCAGTCCTTCTGCATTTTCATTTCCCCGCTTTCTTTGTTTTACACTAATCTCTCAGTTTCCCAGTGAGTGAAATATAAAATATAAGAAGTGTAGAACTCTGTTAGGTCTTGGGTCACACTGAGCACATTAACAGAAGCTCAGTCAGCTGCCTGAACACGTCTTCTTTCAGAAGAGACTAAATAAACACATTATTTAACAAAAGTTCGTCTCTGTGCAGATTTCTCCTAAATTCACAGTTTTAATGTGAGACATTTTTTACCCTGTTCACCTGCAGTGTTGAAAATGTTCTCTCTTCAGCAGGTTTATTCCTGACTGTAGTCTGAAGGTTTGTTCTTCATTCACAGCCTGAATTACAGAACATTTGATTACAAAAATGTTTCTTTATTGTTTATGGAGTAATAAAAAGAGAAATCCAGAATTTTCATTTTAAACCCGATTTAATCCACAGTTCAGATTTCAGCTCTTTAAATAGATATGATGCATATCGCATTAGAAACCTCATTTGCATATTTAAACATTTCAGAAAACTTTTAAATAATATTATATTTAATATTTATTATTTATTTAATATTAAATACATTTAATAATAATTCATTTAATATTAATTCAATTTTGTATATTATTTTGTATATTTAAACACAACATTACAGAAAACTTGTAATTCAAAAATAATATTATATTTAATATTTATTTAATATTAAATACATTTAATGATCATTCATTTAATATTTATTTAATATTAATTCAATATTAAATATTATTTTCATTTTTAAACATAAAATTTCAGAAAACCTGCAATACAAAACAAGTCCGAGTCAGGTCTCAAGTCCTAAACGAGAGTTAAAACTGAAATTATTTTTTATTGATTAACCTGCACAGAAAACAGGCAGAGGGACAGTTTCAGGCAACAAAAGTCCAATAACTTCATGAATTAAATGTTGATGAGTTTTTTTGATTATAATTTATATTTGGGCATCAAGTCCAAGTGAAGCGATTTTGAATCTAAAGTCATCATATTTGGGACTCGAGTCCACAATTCTGCTGGGCGACGTGGCCAAAAATGTTATCACAATAAAAATATTTCATGCCATTCGATATCAATAATTAACACGATAAAAGTCAAATCATTATTTCTTTCAGCGTTAAAGGCTGATTTTTGCTCCTGAGTGAAAGTTAATGTGGTTTGAAACTTTTCTTTCTGCTCAGAACAAACACTTGATGCCAAACAGAGGATCACTTCACAAATCTGAGGCAGAACATTCACAACTATTCTGAGAAAATCTCTTTTCAACAAACATGCAGGAGGAAAATGAAGTCAAATCTGTTTTCAGTCCCTTTTCCTCAACAAAATAAAGATCTTAGTAGAAACATTAAGTGCTGATTCGTTCCTGATTCAAATGAATTCAATCAAACACTTATTGAACATTTGTTATTTTGTTCATGAGGAAAATGATATTTAGATAATTATCGTTATTGATTTATTGCCCAGCGTCCAGGGCTGGACTGGTAATCTGGCATACCGGGCTGTTTTTTAAAAAACACGCCAACAACCGGCTCATAAAGCACAGACAGCAAAACAATAATAAGCTGCTGACAACTGCATCATATTCGATCATATTTTTATATTCTGAATTGTCACCTGCCACCCGAATTTTGTGCTTCTCTGGTGCAGAAAATGTCCCCAGAATGCAGGAAATTAAGTATTTAAAGCTCAAAACCTTCTGGGGGAGGAGCCCCAGACCCCCCTATCAACTATTTCATCAATAGCCCTACATGTGTTTTTCTAAATATTAAAATATATTCTTGTCTTGTCGCCACGCCCACAAGCTTGTGCAATGTTACGTCTCGTGGGCCAAGTGTTTGATCACACTGATCTGAGCCCTTAAATGGAACGATGGTGTGTTGGTGAGGGGGGTCCGGGCCAGATTTTTTCTCCCAGTCCAGCCCTGCTGGGCAGTGTCCTAAACTTTTAAGTGGATGTGAAAAACATTGCTGGGGTGTTCAGGGAGGTTGCTAAGTGTTTTCTGGGGCCTTCTCAGTAAATTACACACAGCTTCTAACGCATGAATAATTAGCTGCTGGAGGAGATCAGGACCAAACTGCTGTTTTAAAACAACAACGATGTGTACTTAAGTCACTGCTGATCACTTCCTGTCGCTCACTCTGGCACCTGGACTCCCCACTGGGCGGCCTTCGGTCTGACGCTGGGGTTCATGTCGCTGAATCAAAAATACTCCAACACTAAAAACAGAGTGAAACTTTAAATTCACATCATTGGAGACATCAGAGGACCCGCCAGCAGTCAAATAACTCTGCAGGAAACAGCCGCTCAAAACAAACACATTTATTGGCTGAAACTGTACAGATTTAAATATGGACGATACAAAGAGGTGCATCATGGGAACCGTGCTGGGTGATGGGACGGTCAGGCCACCTCCTCCATGTAGTCGGCGCCATGATTCTGGCTGAGCTGGGAGACACTCAGGTCCTGAGTGGTGTCGTCGAACTGCACAACAGAACAGACGGGATTTAAAGGTCTGAAGCACGAGCTGTCTAAAATAACATCACGTACAAACAGTTCAAACACAATGATCTCATAGACCATGATGCACTGCTGCACATTCAACCACCCAACAGGATGTAAAGGAGTTAAAACAACTGCAGCAGAAACATTTTACTTTTACCTCAGTAAGGTTTAGAACGCAGGACTTTCACTTGACTAAAGGGAGTAAAATAATAACCACGCAGCTCTAGACCTTAAAATGTTTTCAACCGAAGGAATCAAACTGATGTCGTGTCTGCCTGGTTGTGACACTCAAAAATATTGATCCACTTCGTTACAGCTGCTTGTTTGTCCGCTAGTAAAACTGGCTTCAAAGCAGGGAGCACTTCCTGTGGGCTCAGAGGAAATGATGCTACCAAGCCAGCCAATCACAGTTCTTGCAGCGTGAGGACACGGTGCACCCAGGTGAAACCTGAAGCAGGGCTCACCTTGTCACTGTTGTCAGGTCCCTCAATGGAAACCTCCTCGATCTCCTCCCCGATGCTGAGCTCGCTCTTGGAGAGATCTGACCGATGGCTGGAGCAGAGAAAGTGCATTAAACCAACTTCCACCTGCGTTTGGGGTTATGCTGATAAACGCAGCCTGCAGGGATGTTTTATCTGTGACGTTTATGAAGCTTTTTGTCAGTTAGTTTACACAATACAATACACAGTGAAGAAGCCTGTTTCTGGGCCTCTCTGAAGAGGAACCACGTTCATTCAATCTATAAATGTTTGATTATTGAAGTGAAACCGAGCTCTTTGAACAAGTGAACAAAACACCAGGTGAGCCCCATGAGCTAATGAGCTGGTTAACATCTCGCTAACTGACAGGGAGCTACAACAAGCTGACAGCGTATCTTCTCCTAAGTCACTTTAAAAACTCACTTTTATCATAAGTTGTTCTTATAATCGTATTTAGCCCATTTGTCTGTGTATTTATACATGAGCTGTGCATTTAGGAATGTATCTGTGTGTGTTTGTATTTTGTCCTTTCTTCTTAAGTCATCTGAATTGATTTATTGCTTTTACTTTTGTTAAACATTTTGTAATTGCTGATTTTGACAAGTTATCTATAAATAAAATATCATTATTATAAATAAAGCTGTGTGAGCGTGATGTCCTCATGTCTGCTGGAGTAAACCAGCAGTAACCAGAGGAGCTTAAGTGAAGTGATGTTAGCAACACAGCTAATAAGCTGCGACAGCCTCCTCCGTGTTCAGAGATCAGCTCTGTGAAGCTAAATTTGTGGGTAAAAGTTCATCAAAGTTGAACTTTAGTGCAGATGAATCCAACAATCAGTGATTCCACTGGAGTGACTTGGTTTGCTGAGATCGAACGTCATGAGTTTGACCAAAAAGACTCGATGCTGAATGTAAAGAGATACATCGACAGTCTCACCTGTTGAAGTCGTCGTCATATTCAACGTCGTCATCTGTGAAGCAGAGTTTTAGAGGTTGAATTAGTGAAACAGAAACGGGTTATTCTCACAGTTCAGCTGCAGAGCATCTGTACCGAACATCTTCACCTCTCACCACCCGAAACTAACAGAACAAAAACTAAGAAAGACGATCCAGAATCTAACTGTTTGCAGATGACGCTCTCATTTATCACTGAAAGAAAAAAGTAAGTTAGAGGAAAGTGTAAAGTTGTGGTTGAGGTTTAGACCCTTTCACACCTGAAAGCCAAAGTTCTAGCTTTGACGCATTCGGTTTGTTCTGGTTTGGTTTCATGTTGCAATTTATACGAGCGCTAAAGAACTTTCCATGACAGACTCGTGTCCTGTCGTCATCATCTCTGTGGGATGCATGATTGGTTTGTAAGCTGAGGTGTGTCCAACGTCAGTGTGTTGTGGGTTCAGCGGGTAGTTTTGACAAAACACTTTGTCCTTGACAAGAATAAATGAAAAGATGCATGTTATGATTATGTCACTACCTTATGATACTACCTGCAGCACCAGTTGTTCTCGAGCCTAGTTCAAATTCGCCAAATGAATGTCCTCGTTGTGCGAACATTACAGCATCTCACAAAGTGAGCACACCCCTCACATTTTTATAAATATCTAATCTTTTCATGTGACAACACTGAAGAAATGACACTTTGCTCCAGTGTAAAGTAGTGAGCGTGCAGCTTGTATAACAGTGTAAATCTGCTGTCCCTCAAAAATAACACATCGCACAGCCATTAATGTCTAAACCGCTGGCAACAAAAGTGAGAACACCCCTAAGTGAAAATGTCCAGAAAAGGAGTAGAAGACCAAAAAGGGTCGTCTCTTTCAAAAGATGAGCTAATAATTGTCCTTATTTCATTCCCCCATGAATAGAAATAGGCCATTTCCTTCTCTTTCGGCTCATTTACTTCAACTACGTTGTTTTCTCTTGGGTGTTACTGGTTTAATCAGGAACCACCAGAACTTCCTGTAAATGGTCTGGAAGTCTGAACCATCCAAAAAATGCTTTTACATCTGAAACTAACCGAACCATGGTTCAGTTTGATCCAGACCTAGACTACCTCTTTTTGACCAAAATTCCAGGTATGAAACGGTTTCACACCTGGAACCTGATCAAACTGAAAAGTCTGCTGCGTTTTGGTTTTAAAACGGAGACCTTTTGCTACGTTTGCTTCTCCCGTCCAGACTAAATTGGAGAAAAAAAAAAAGACCCAAAATGGAGAAGTTTCGCAAAATGGGTTCGTCAGCGTTTCGAAACTCCGGAGAGCATTTTACTGAAGACGGGCAAAAACTTTAGAAACGACAGACGCCCACGTTTGGCTCCTGATTAGCTCTTATCAGTCATGCAAAGCAGAAACACGATGCTGCTGACAGTTTAAGTTTTAGTTTTGGTGTTTTTATTAAAATATTCTGTACCGTGCAGATAACACTTAACAGCCTACACTTGTACTGTGCAAGTCGCCGTTTACTTTGCAATGACTCCCAGTCTGTTTTCCGCCGCCACACTCCCGTTTTACATTCAGTAACAGTCCCAGCTCGTTATTGGTCCATGAAAAATAAAATCTGGTGCGGTTCTTCGTCTGCAGTATTTTATTCTTTCGCAAAAACTTCTGTAACTATAGAACATCTGCTTCCTGTTTCCACCGACACATGCCCAGTGTACGTGAACGATCTCTTGATGTGCGTTTTCAGTCGCTCCTATTCTTTGATCTGATACTGGGTCCTTTCAGAACTTTATGTTGTATTTTAACATTTTACACACTAAATATAAGGCTTTACTGTCTGTCGGGATTCTGAGGAACCCCCGCTCCCTCTTCACCAAATGACTTGTAGCAGTACTGATCCAACCAGTCGCTACCATGACGCAGTGGACAGTGTGAAGCACAGAGCAGCATCACAGGGACCAACAGGGAGAGGGTTATTCTTTTATAGCTGTGATGTTTGAATCCTACCGAAATGCAGAGATCCAGTTTTATCATTCAGGGCCCTCGAGTCTCTGGACCCCCTTTCTCTGGAGCCGGACGCTGCTGCAGGAAGAAAAACCACCTTGGTTAAACACAACCTCTCCAGATGGCGAACTTCCTGTAAGGGGGTGTTACAAAAAGCCCCAGATGTTCTGTTTGAACTGACCGTTCCTGCTGTGGCTCTGCTCTGACATGCTGCTCCCTCCTCCTCCGGGTCTCGGAGCCTCTGACAGGGACCCTGCTGGAGCCCCTCTGGCCCCAGACGCCTCCACCTTCCTGGCACACAAATAGCAGACGGTCAGCTGAGGATGGAGGAACTTAAATAACAACATAATGAATTAGATTTGCAGCTGACGGACCTGAGAACCAGTCCAGTTCTACAGCACCGGATTTACAGTCTACAGACTAATCCGCCTTGTGCGTCGTCTCTCTCCATTACCTCAACAAGGTTACGGTGCAGATATTTACAGCCGGTTGGGGATTACTTTCTTTTTCACAATATTTTTTTGTATTACAGGTTTTCTGAAATGTTTAAATATGCAAATGAGGCAGAATCTAATGAAATATGAGCTAATTTGCATCTATTTCAAGAACTGAAATCTGAACTCTGGATTAAGTCAGGTTCAAAATGATTGTTTTATTTTGACTCAGACTCAAATGTTATTACTGAGGGAATTTCTCTCTTTAAATTTATCAGATAATCAATTTTCGTCCTGTTTTTGGGAGTAAAATGTTCTATAATGTCCTCTGTAAAAACCTTAAGAATATATTCAGGAAGAGAGCAGAAAGGTTTGGTCAGAGCAGCTGAAGTGGAGATTTCAGGCTCAGAGGACAAACGGCCTTTAAAGATATGAATTGTAAAAGTCTACGACCAGCTCGTGATAAACACGTCTCCCTCTGGTTTCTAAGCTGATTCCTGGATGTTTGTTCTGGACTGACATCACGCTATCCTCGCCATTTACAATAACTAACTACGTGTCACACACATCGTACTGCCGCTGTGTGCTTCAGTGTTACAAAGCAAAGCCAGAGTGAAGACAGGAGAGAGGGAACACCTGTAGCTCACCTGAGCTCAGAGAGAGGATCCTCTCGATCGCCCTCTGAGTCAGCAGCCAGGACAGACAAGCTGAGGCCAGAGAGAGAGAGGGGGGGGGGGAGGTGAAGAGACACACTCATGTTTGTCTGTCCATCCTTCTGAGGACCTCGTTGGTCTGATACACTCATTTATAAAACAGCCCTCTGACAGAACGAGCTGAACACTCGGGTTGTTTGTGGATGTGACACCAGGAGCGAGGAGAAGCCCGGAGCTGCCTCGCTGCCTCTGTCTCAGCGACCCAGTTTGTCCCGCAATCATTAAAGTTTGACGGAGCGGCGGTGAAATGTAATCTGACTCGGTTACAGTCGCCTCTCTGGGACTGCACGCTTGGTTTCCTCCACGGGGACACCGCTCGCTCTGACCGCACAGCGCTGGGCGGCAGCTCCGGGTTCAACCTCCTGATGACATCACACATCAGCTGATGATATCACACACGATAAACCGTGAGCAGTGTCAGTGTGGATGAATACAGAGTGGACGGTCTGCACACTGATGCATGCTGGGATATCGACAGCGGCCACAACACCAACAATCCAACAGGTTTCTCTCTGGTCGGTACGTGCGGCGTCGCCGGCGGCGCTCGCATGAACGCAACAGTTTCTCTGAGAAAGAGACAAAAGGAAAGCTGACCTGGTTTCTGTTACTTCCCCCGGGCTTCGTCTGCTCCACTTTCATTTATTACACATTTATAGAGCTTCAGCCCCATGGGCCCTCACTTCAGATCAAATATGCACGACTCACGTTTAGATCCTGTTTGAACTGTGTCCTGAATCACACACACGATGTCCTTCACTTTAAAAGACCATTAAAGTCAAGAACTGGGAGGTAACATTGAGCATCTCTCGTCTCAACAATACATCAGTTTACATAACCGACATGTTGGCGCTGTAATGCTAAGCTAATGCTTGTCGCTTGCTTGCCACTTGCTACAGTATCTCATGAAAGTGAGTACACCCTAACATTTTATCTGATTATTTCTTTTCATGTGACAACACTGAAGAAATGCCAGCGGTTTAGACATTAATGTCTGTGATGTGTTATTTTGAGGGAACAGCAGATTTACACTTTACGCTGTTCTACAAGCTGCACGCTCGCTACTTTACACAAGCTGCACGCTCGCTACTTTACGCTGTTCTACAAGCTGCACGCTCACTACTTTACAGTTATACAAGCTGCACGCTCGCTACTTTACGCTGTTCTACAAGCTGCACGCTCACTACTTTACGCTGTTCTACAAGCTGCACGCTCGCTACTTTACGCTGTTCTACAAGCTGCACGCTCGCTACTTTACGCTGTTCTACAAGCTGCACGCTCGCTACTTTACGCTGTTCTACAAGCTGCACGCTCGCTACTTTACGCTGTTCTACAAGCTGCACGCTCGCTACTTTACACTGTTCTACAAGCTGCACGCTCGCTACTTTACACTGTTCTACAAGCTGCACGCTCGCTACTTTACACTGTTATACAAGCTGCACGCTCACTACTTTACAGTTATACAAGCTGCACGCTCACTACTTTACGCTGTTCTACAAGCTGCACGCTCGCTACTTTACGCTGTTCTACAAGCTGCACGCTCGCTACTTTACGCTGTTCTACAAGCTGCACGCTCGCTACTTTACGCTGTTCTACAAGCTGTACGCTCGCTACTTTACAGTTATACAAGCTGCACGCTCACTACTTTACGCTGTTATACAAGCTGCACGCTCACTACTTTACGCTGTTCTACAAGCTGCACGCTCACTACTTTACGCTGTTATACAAGCTGCACGCTCACTACTTTACGCTGTTCTACAAGCTGCACGCTCACTACTTTACACTGTTATACAAGCTGTACGCTCACTACTTTACAGTTATACAAGCTGCACGCTCGCTACTTTACGCTGTTCTACAAGCTGTACGCTCGCTACTTTACAGTTATACAAGCTGCACGCTCACTACTTTACGCTGTTATACAAGCTGCACGCTCACTACTTTACGCTGTTCTACAAGCTGCACGCTCACTACTTTACGCTGTTCTACAAGCTGCACGCTCACTACTTTACACTGTTCTACAAGCTGCACGCTCGCTACTTTACGCTGTCCAGTGTCGTCACATGAAGAATCAGATATTTAGGGGTGTCCTCACTCTGTGAGATACTGATGGTAACTGAGCTGTGTTCCACACACAGATGTTTAATTTGAGAGGTTTTGTGAGGAGACACGCCACTTTAGGAATCCTCAACACAACTCTAAATGATAATCCAATCGTGTGGTTCCTCTGACGTAAGGACACATGTGTAGCAGAAGTATAACCTGCAGGGAAAAACACTTTTTAAACCTTGTTTTGGGGCAAACTCATCATCTTTTCATTCACTCAGAGAGAGACCTGATCTTGTTAGTCCCATTAACCGCCCAGAGGCCTTACCAAGATGGCTGCAGAGTGGCGAGAATGGCCTATAAGGACTTTCTTGACTCGAATGATCTTTTAAACTGACAGACGTCGTGTGTGATTCAGGACACAATTCAAACATCAGCCGTCTCTCGCCGTTGACTACCGTTTTCTAAAGTAAGGTCCCATGTTGCTCCACAGGAACTGTTATATTACACATTCATTAAACTCTACACCCCCATCTACTGCAGGTAGTACACCAACTGTGTACCTCATCCAGCCCCACCTCCAACTATAATAAATACTTTTACTGAAGTAAATTAAAACACGTAGGACCTTCATTTAGAATGGAGTATTCAATACTGTAGTAGTACTAAAGTAAAGCATTGATGACTCCTGCCAACCTCAGCAGAGCGCTGTCTGAAGTGGGCGGGGCTCAGCTGGAAAAGAACAAATGAGGATTAAGCAACATTTGAATCAGCGGCTGAAGTCGTTCCCTTTAAGTCGTCAGTCAGAGGTTATGAAATGAGTCCTGAGAGGAACTCTTCAGTTTAGACCATTACCTGTCGCTTATTTAGTCATGAATATTTATTTAAGACCTGAAACCAGGTCAATGGACGCTCTGACTGTCAGGGGCTGAAGGCCTCATGTGAACGCCGCCTCATGTGAACGCCGCCTCATGTGAACGCCGCCTTAGGTCACGTTCACACAGAGAAACAAGATTCGTCACCAGAGAGGAAGACGGGGACGGATGACAAAGGAGGACAAATGGTTTTCATGCATCTCTCTTCTCTCGCTGGCTGCACGTCGTCATTTTTAGGCCCCAGATGTACCTGCTTTTTAACAACGCGCATTTATTAACAAGAGCTGGCGAAGCAAACAGATTGCGTACACCGGAATATCTTCCTGACAACTTCTGAATTTGCACAATGTAAACAACCCTGGCGACACTCGAGGAGGTTCTGATTTTAATGAGACATCATAAAGATGTCGGTCCTTGCAGACTCGCTCCAGCAGGTTTTCTTCAAAACATCCCGCCATAAATCCGTCCCTCCAGGATCTCGAGGGCCTTTGTTGCGATTGCTGTGGCCTAATATGCCTTTTCTAAAAGACTGAGATGAAAGTTGTGATGTTGTTTGGCGTTTTACTGCAATAAGATTGCAGGAATAAGTGAAAACGGCAAAGGTACGTGTGATCTATAAGGTTGCATCTTGCGTAGCGTTCATATTTGAAGATATTCACAACCTACCCTCTAAAGGAACGCAGGATACGCACGGCCGCCATCCTGTGTGCACAAACACGCAGTTAAAAGAAAGTATATCAGGGCCTTTAAGGTTCCCGGTGGTTACCGGTCACCTCCCCGTCTCTCGTCTCTGTGTGAACGAGGCCTCCGAACGTGACCGACCCAACACGTAAACTCGGCTCATCATTCAAACGGCCGTCTGTTGGCGTGCTCACTCACTCGCTGAGGCTTCTGCCTCGCCTCATTGGGGACGACACCGGCCCAGAGAGACCCTCCTCCCTCAGAGAGACAACACTGCAGGGCGAGGAGGGGTGGAGGGAGGACAGGTAAAGGTAAGGTGGGACAGAGAGACACAGGAACAGGAAGAACAACAGAGAAAAAAAAGGACATTTAAGGCAAAGTAGGAGCAGCAGGACAGTGTGAAGATGGTGAGAGAGGGACACCTGGACAGGTAAGACAGGTGGGCCGAGATCTACTGCTTTAACTACACATTCACCCGCTCACACAGTGACGGCCGAGGCTCCATCCACACTACGACGAGCTCCGTCCACTCCAGCGTCTCTATTAAAACCACCGTTCATGTACACTGAGCGTGTGCGTGTAAACAGGAAGCAGATTGTCTACTCTGCAGCCGAAGAAGAAAGTTCTACTAGAGACGAAGGCAGAACAGCGACGGTGAAGAACCAATGCAGAGATTTCTCCGCATGGAGCGACAGCGAGGTGGCGGCGGGAAACAGGCCGGGAGTCGACCACGTGCACAGTCCAAGTGTAGAAGTGTTATTTACACAGAACAACATGTTTTTATTAAAACTCTACCCCAGAGTTTAAAACCAAACTGGCGTGTTGGGATTCAGCGTTTTAGTCTGGACGGGAGGCGGAGACGCAGCAGAAGGTCTGAGATTTAAAACGAAGAGGTAGGAGTGTGGATAGAGCCTGAGGTCGTGGTGCAAGGTGCAAAAGCAGAAAGTAACACTCAGTTTGCCCCAGAAACACAACAGACAGGAAGAAAAGTTCAAACTACACAGGAAGCTACATCAAGTCTTTTCATCTTCATGTGTTTGCTCTCCTGTCAGTTGTCTCACAGCCTGTCAACCTCTCCAACTGATTATGTAGCTGCCTCCTAATGTTTTGTAGAGAATCAAAAGAAAAGTGTGCACATGATTTATTTCACAGCCTCTCGATGATTTTAGAGTCTAATAGAAATGTTATAAGTTAGAGTCTAAAGATAAAAGAATCTGCTGGGTGTAAAGTTCAGTCTGCACGACTGAGTCTCATGTGAAATGGTCCAAAGCTCAGACTTTGTGTTTGGGGCGTTCAGCACAGACTAGAATAACTCGAGACATCCTGGAGCTTCTCCGAGTTCGCAGGTACTTACTCTTTCTGACCGTCCGTCCTCTCTGATGAGTCCTTCTCTCCGGTCAGAGGACTGCGATTAACGAGGCAGCAGAGAAACACAGAGAACACAGGACGTTTGTTGGTAATAAAGAACACACGTTCCTTAAAAATCACCTACAGCGATCTGAAAATAAAAAGAGCTCTGCGGTGACGGATGCTGAAGCTGACCTGTACGGGGGCTTTCACACCATCCTCGTTAGTTCGGCTGAATAACATTAGAGTGTGTTTCGCCCCTTGGGGCGGTTTGTTTGGGCAGGTGTGAATGCAGCAGTTGCACTGGGGTCGGCACCAAAACCAGAACCAAACAAGCGTACCGAGATCTTGAAGAAGCGGTCTCAGTACGTAATAATAATAATAATGCTTATAGTTATAGGTATACATTTCTTCAGCTCTTTGTGACACCCAGCAACATAAATTTACACATCAGAACCATTAAAGTTCTGCAGAAACTTCAGGATCAGGATCTGATTTCCCGACGGTTCGTTTGTGAGAAGTTGGCGTGAACACGATTTCTGTTTCCCCCCCTCGGTCCGGACCCGATGAACCGAACTGCAGGTGTGAAAGCAGCTGATATTAATGTCAGCCGGGCTCAGATCCTGATGCTGGACTCATTTACACGTGCAGCTAAAGGTTCATGTTGAACTAGTGAATTAGTCTCTGGGTGGTTTTCAGCTGCCAAACTGTTCTCTCTCCCAACTTGTCACATATGGACACACGGTGAAGACCTGTTAGCGCCATAAGGTTGACGCCAGAAGTACTATAAATAACAGAAAAGTCTGAGAAAGGAGGCGGTTTCACAAAGGAGACAAAGCAAAAAGTGAACACTGAATTACGTTATGCAAGTGATGCCTAAACCTAATCAAACTGTTTCACAACGTTAACAAGTAGTTTTATTTTAAAAGTCTAACCGATCGTTGCATATTTATTCATGCTAAATTGACACACTGGTCCAAAAGGGTAAAGGGAACCCAGGGTGTTAAAAAGCTACGTCAAGGGGTCTTTAACAAGCGTCCACAGGTGACGAGTTGGGAGAGAACGCCATGATGCATCTCGTTTGTTTAACAGAAACCAAAGTGGTTTTATGGCTGTTTTCAGCCTGTATGCTAAGCTAAGCTAACCAGCTGCTGGCTGTCGTGTCACATTTAGAGGAGGGTTTCACTACATGCACAGGTCTGTACACGGATCTAACTTTAACGTTGATGCAGAGAAGCTGCAAAGACGCCACCTGAGTCGGCCCGAACCAATCACAGCGAGGCGCTAAGATCAGGCGACAGGTCAGGTGTGCTCACCAGCCGTAGGTCTTCTGGGGTTTGGGCAGCGGGTCGTCGAAGAACGAATCCCCGTCGTCTGGATCGTCCTCCACCTCCAGGTCCAGGTCCTGGTCCCGGTCCAGGCGCTCTCTGTTCGGGCCGGAGGAGGAGGTCCGGCTGTCAGACGCCTCGCTGTGTTTGGAGCCCGGCTGCTGGAGGCCTCCTTTACCCAGAGACGTCACGCCGTCCGAGTCCTGATGGACGACAAAAAAGCCCGTGAGACGGCAGACAGAGCAGGACTTGAGTCAGTGCAGATCGTCAGCTGCTGACCGAGCGTTAGCAGCTGAGCAGTGGGTGGACTGGTTAATGTGACCCTCGGCTGTTCCCGGAGACAATCGATCAGTCTTTACAGTCCTCCAGCTCAGTGCGCAGCCAGGTGAGAGCAGTCAGTCTCAGATCAGCGACCTGATCACTGACAGCAGATCAAACCCCGGTTAAAGCTGCTGATCTGCACTGACTCACCGTCTTCTTCATCGTCATCATCTTCTCCGGGTTTGATTTTAAACTGAAGCAGAAGGTGAGTTAGTGCAGCAGGTGAAGGAGATGTCCTGGTTAATATTTCTAACGACCTCTCTCACACCTGGACACTCTCCTGTTTCTCCAGGGATTCTCCCGTAGTCTACCGTCCCCCCCCCGCCTTTTGTCCTGTAATTCTCGTGTACTTTTAAACTTTCTATAACTTAAAACCCGCTGGACGTAGCCTAAAGCTCGCCACGTTCCCCTCCGATAAACCAGGGGTCAGTATGTAGAACATACTGCACATTGTTTCTCCCTATTTTCAAATCCCAGCGTTGAAAGGTGTGACCTAAAGTTACTAAAGTTTCATCATCAGTACACTAACGAGGCTGCAGGTCGTTATAAATATTTACAGCAGAACTGAGAAAATGTTTCTACTTGTCAGCTGATTTATTCCCTCAGTAAACACTTTCCTGATGAGTTTATGGTCTCAGTCTCTAGTTTCAAGTCTTCTTCAACACAGCATGACGTTCATTTAGTAAATTATGGTCCCATTTAGAGGAACAGAGACCAGGAAGCAGGGGAGGCTTTAGGGCGGGGCTACAAGCTGATTGGTGACCTGTCAATCAGGATAGAGGCGACTCGTATCCGCTGCTCTGTGCCGTGAACTTGTGTTCGGATGCTCTCTGTGTTTCAGAGCTTTGAGCCTCTCGCAGTCTGTTTGCACTCCACGAAAGTTAACTGGAACATTTTGGTCCTAAAAACGTGTCTCTGCCTGATTCACTGAGCCTGGTTCCGTAAAACGAACTAAACGACTGAAACGTCTTTAACCGATGTAACGGCGTGCAGCATGTCCATACTGATTTGTAGATCCACCTGGAGCAGGTGGCCTGGTGCGCTTTCAAAAGTTTTACACATCCAAAGAACCAAAAACCAGGCGTCTTAACGTGTAGCTGTACCAGACCTGTCTTAGGGACCGGAGGCTTTTACCTGAAGTCTTTTTGGTTTGACAGAGCTTCAGGCTGAAGGAGCAGCTGCTCACTTTCATTCACTTTATTGTTAAGACTTGTTGTGCTGATCAAAAGCCAGTTTCAGTTTCAGGGACAGGTTGCGTCCACACGGAGCCTCTTTCTAGGCCAACCTTTCACTCCCACTTTCAAACCCGCCGGAGAAGAACAGCAAAACCCCAGAAGCTGCGTTCTCACGGGGAAACCAGAGGCAGCGTCCACACGGCTCCTGCAGGGCGCCACGGCCGCCAAGCGTCCTGTCCGGCCTCCGTTTACTCATTACTGCGAGATAAACCAGCATCCGCAGATCTTTATATCAGAAGTCATTCATTTAAGGCAGCTCTGTTCGTGGGTGTTCACGTCACAGTTTCTCCATAATCCATAACTACGCCCACGCTCTCCTGAAAGGGCATCTTTCTACGTAAAAACATTTACCAGAAACAGCTTCATTTAGGTCACAAGAGCAGAGAAGGTTTTCAGTTTATATACATACGTTACTGTCTTTCTGTTTTCTGTTTTATTTAGTTATTATTTCTCGTGCCGTTTGATATCTATCTCTATCTCTATATCTATCTCCATCTATCTCTATCTATCTATATCTATATCTATCTCCATCTCCATCTCCATCTATCTCTATATATCTATCTCTATATCTATCTCCATCTCCATCTATCTCTATATCTATCTCCATCTCCATCTATCTCTATATCTATCTCCATATCTATCTCCATCTATCTCTATATCTATCTATCTCCATCTATCTCTCTAGAGATATATAGATCTATCTCTATATCTATCTATCTCTATATCTATCTCCATCTATCTCTATATCTATCTATATATCTATCTCTATATCTCTATCTCTATCTCTATCTCCATCTATCTCTCTAGAGATATATAGATCTATCTCTATATCTATCTCCATCTCTCTCTATCTCTCTCTATATCTATCTCCATCTCTCTCTCTATCTCTCTCTATCTCTCTCTATATCTATCTCCATCTATCTCTCTAGAGAGATATAGATCTATCTCTATATCTATCTCCATCTATCTCCATCTATCTCTCTATGGATATATAGATATCTCTCTATCTATCTACTGGCATGTGACCCACTAACCTGTACAAATAAAGTTTTATTGATTTATGTCTTTAGGTTCAGTAAATTATTATAAATTATAATTACTGCATTATATTTATCATAATTTTATGTAGCTGTTAAACAGACGTGTCTCTCAGTGGCGTGTTGGCCTGTATTTACTGCAGTACTTAGTGTGGCAGAGCTGACGGATGTCGTCTCTACGTGAAGCTTTGTTGCAGCAGAATATTAAAACCTTCAGGCTGCACAGTCAGAACAAACAGCCTTCACCCAAAACTCAGCCTGGGAGAGGAAGCAGTCATTACTCTTATTACTGTGCAGCCAGGGCGGCGAGCTGAGCATCGAGCAGCGGCGCGGCCCTCGCCTCGGGTGGTCTTATCAGCGCGCTCTGCTCGCCGCTGCTCGATGCTCAGCTCGCCGCTCATTTAAGCTTTTCTGAAAGTGACTGACAGCTGCTGTGTGCGTCAGAGGCCGCAGCTGGAACAACCAGGGTTCGGTGTCAGAGGGAATCAAACCCACGGCCTCCCACAGCAGCATGAGTCTGCGCCCTGAGTGCACAGTAATAACTGGAGGAGGTTTTCATCTCTCTCGTCTGGACAGTGAGACAGTTAGTGGAACAGGTTAAAGTGAGGAGAGCTGTAGATGAAGGTCTCTGGTCTCTGATATCAGAGATCAGGTCTCTGATCTCTGGTATCAGGTCTCAGGTCTGCTGATCTCTGGTCTCAGAGATCTGATCTCTGGTCTCCGGTCTCAGAGATCTGGTCTCTGATATCAGAGATCTGGTCTCTGATATCAGAGATCTGATCTCTGATCTCCGGTATCAGGTCTGCTGATCTCTGGTATCAGGTCTCAGGTCTCTGATCTCTGGTATCAGGTCTCAGGTCTGCTGATCTCTGGTCTCAGAGATCTGATCTCTGGTCTCAGAGATCTGATCTCTGGTCTCAGAGATCTGATCTCTGGTCTCAGAGATCTGATCTCTGGTATCAGGTCTCTGGTCTGCTGAGATTTCTCAGTGATATTACAGAGTTAGTGAAGCTGCTGGCTGTGGATCTGCTCTGCAGGTTTTACCTTAGCTGCTGTCTGACTCTGTCCTCGGGGAATCTGCCCTCTATATCTGGGGATCTGTGCAGGACAGGGACACCGTCAGCTGCTGTCTGACCCCACAGGGCCACCGCGACTTCCCTCTTGGCCCTTTAACTCCCGGGGTCAGTGTTTCCCACGGGCTTTGTGAGGCCGTAAACTGTTTTAAACGCCTTTATCTGGTGCACTTTGAGAGCGAGAACAAAAGGCTGGATCCATGAAGAACTTTGATCATAAACATGTTGAGTAGATTTAAAAAGGTAAGAAAAGTCAACGAGTTCAGTATTTTTGCAGCAAATCAAAGAATCAACTAATTTCCCAACATTTCAGCTTTTTGTAAAGACGCCTCACGGGGAAAGATGGAAGGAAGGGGTTAAAAAGAGGAGGTTAACGGGGAACGCAGTCTCTAAAAGGTTCTGTTGTGGCGGTGGGAGGAGGTGATAGAGGGAGGGAGGGGCCAAGCTGTGGGGGGGGGTCTCTGTGACAAGAGGAAGGATTTACCATAAAGGCTAGAATACGTGTGCACTCTAACTTCAGTGTGTTCTCATGAACGAGTGAGCTGACCTCAAACCACGATGTGTCTCGAGTCAGACGCCACAGTCTGTGAGCGTCTTTAAGGTCATTATGAGGGGGGTTCATTTTGAAACCCTGCAGGACACGTGGGGCCGTGGGGGCCCCCTCTGTGATTAATGGGAAACACTGAGGGCCGAGTTCTTCTGACTTCAGCAAAAACTCATGCAACGAAAAACGGCCACCACAACCACCTCGGCAGGCGAGGGCAGACGTACCTTACTGGCAGGTGGAGAGCTGGTTCTGTCCTCAGGAAGGCGGCTCTGAGGCTGACCCACATCAGAGTCCTGCACCACCTGGACACAGACAACAGCTAGCTTAGCATAAAGACTGGCAGCAGGGGGAACTGTTAGCTTAGCGTCACAGATGAAAACAGGCTCACCACACTCGTGCACTGAGCGAAGAGACGCTTGTAGAGTCCCAGAAACACCTGGAAGTCGATCGCTGTGGAAACAACAGACACGATGACGCAGCAGCACATGAACGCCGCCGACACGCAGCGCCGTCTGTCATGTTTCACTCGTGGCCAAAAGCACGTGGTTAGGTCTGAGATGTGACTATAAAGAAATGGGTTCCAGTTAGCTGTGGGAGATCCTGACTGGTCTGAGTCCGGACCGCCCAGCCCCTCTGGGATGAACCGGAACACGTCGGTCAGCTGTCCACATACTTTTGGCCACGTAGGTGACAGTGGTTCAGGTCAGCTGATAAAGTCTTACTTTTAGAGAAGGTCTTGTCTGCAGCTCTGAGCTCATCGGTGAGGAACCTCTCCAACATGTTCCTGCAGGACAGACAGAACGAGACACACAGAGACAGGCGTCAGGACACAGAGACACAACGAGACAAACTGAGACAGGCGTCAGGACACAGAGACACACCGAGACAGGCGTCAGGACACACCGAGACACACCGAGACAGGCGTCAGGACACAACAAGACACAACAAGACACACAGAGACAGGCGTCAGGACACAGAGACACACCGAGACAGGCGTCAGGACAAACCGAGACAGGCGTCAGGACACACCGAGACACACCGAGACAGGCGTCAGGACTAACCGAGACAGGCGTCAGGACACAGAGACACACCGAGACAGGCGTCAGGACACAACAAGACACAACAAGACACAACGAGACACACCGAGACAGGCGTCAGGACACAACGAGACACACCGAGACAGGCGTCAGGACACAACAAGACACAACGAGACACACCGAGACAGGCGTCAGGACACACCGAGACAGGCGTCAGGACACAACGAGACACACCGAGACAGGCGTCAGGACACAACAAGACACAACAAGACACAACGAGACACACCGAGACAGGCGTCAGGACACAACGAGACACACCGAGACAGGCGTCAGGACACAACGAGACACACCGAGACAGGCGTCAGGACACAACAAGACACAACAAGACACAACAAGACACACCGAGACAGGCGTCAGGACACAACAAGACACAACAAGACACACCGAGACAGGCGTCAGGACACAACAAGACACAACAAGACACAACAAGACACACCGAGACAGGCGTCAGGACACAGAGACACAACGAGACACGCCGAGACAGGCGTCAGGACACAGAGACACACCGAGACAGGCGTCAGGACACAGAGACACAACGAGACAAACCGAGACAAACCGAGACAGCCGTCAGGACACAGAGACACAACGAGACAAACCGAGACAGGCGTCAGGACACAGAGACACACCGAGACAGGCGTCAGGACACAGAGACACACCGAGACACACCGAGACAGGCGTCAGGACACAGAGACACACCGAGACACACCGAGACACACCGAGACAGGCGTCAGGACACAGAGACACACCGAGACAGGCGTCAGGACACAACGAGACAGGCGTCAGGACACAACGAGACACACCGAGACAGGCGTCAGGACACAACAAGACACAACGAGACACAACGAGACACACAGAGACACACAGAGACAGGCGTCAGGACACAGAGACACAACGAGACAAACTGAGACAGGCGTCAGGACACAGAGACACACCGAGACAGGCGTCAGGACAAACCGAGACAGGCGTCAGGACACACCGAGACACACCGAGACAGGCGTCAGGACACAATGAGACAGGCGTCAGGACACAACGAGACACACCGAGACAGGCGTCAGGACACAACAAGACACAACAAGACACAACGAGACACACCGAGACAGGCGTCAGGACACAACAAGACACACCGAGACAGGCGTCAGGACACAACAAGACACAACAAGACACAACGAGACACACCGAGACAGGCGTCAGGACACAACGAGACACACCGAGACAGGCGTCAGGACACAACGAGACACACCGAGACAGGCGTCAGGACACAACAAGACACAACAAGACACACCGAGACAGGCGTCAGGACACAGAGACACAACGAGACACGCCGAGACAGGCGTCAGGACACAGAGACACACCGAGACAGGCGTCAGGACACAGAGACACAACGAGACAAACCGAGACAAACCGAGACAGCCGTCACGACACAGAGACACAACGAGACACACCGAGACACACCGAGACAGGCGTCTGGACACAACGAGACACACTGATATGAGCTAACTGATATGAGCTAATGGGGCTAACTGATATGAGCTAATGGGGCTAACTGATATGAGCTAACTGAGCTGAGCTAACTGAGCTTACTGATATGAGCTAACTGTTATGAGTTTACTGAGCTAACTGTTATGATCTAACTGAGCTAACTGTTATGATCTAACTGAGCTAACTGTTATGATCTAACTGAGCTAACTGAGGTGACTCAGACTGAGCTAACTGATATGAGCTAACGGGGCTAACTGATATGAGCTTACTGATATGAGCTAACTGAGCTACCTGATATGAGCTTACTGATATGAGCTAACTGAGCTAACTGATATGAGCTAACTGAGCTAACTGATATGAGCTAACTGAGCTAACTGAGGTGACTCAGACTGAGCTAACTGATATGAGCTAACGGGGCTAACTGTTATGAGCTTACTGAGCTAACTGTTATGAGCTAACTGATATGAGCTAACTGATATGAGCTAACGGGGCTAACTGTTATGAGCTTACTGATATGAGCTAACTGAGCTAACTCAGACTGAGCTTACTGATATGAGCTAACTGAGCTAACTCAGACTGAGCTAACTGATATGAGCTAACGGGGCTAACTGTTATGAGCTAACTGATATGAGCTAACTGAGCTAACTGATATGAGCTAACTGAGGTGACTCAGACTGAGATAACTGATATGAGCTAACGGGGCTAACTGTTATGAGCTTACTGATATGAGCTTACTGAGCTAACTGATATGAGCTAACTGATATGAGCTAACTGAGGTGACTCAGACTGAGCTAACTGATATGAGCTAACGGGGCTAACTGTTATGAGCTTACTGATATGAGCTTACTGAGCTAACTGATATGAGCTAACTGAGCTAACTGAGGTGACTCAGACTGAGCTAGCTGAGCTGAGCTAACGGGGCTAACTGAGGACAGATTCTGCTCTAAGTGGAGGAAGCAGTTTTTGGGTCAGTGGTTAAGGTTAGCGAAAGTCTCCAGGATTGAATGTAAGTCTATGTAATGTGTGTGTGTGGTTCTGCTGCAGACCTACTTGTTCAAACTGGGGCACAGATCTGTGAAAACACTCTTCAGGTCTTCCTTTGCGACTGAGCCGCTCCCGCCCTGCAGGAAACAACAACAACAACAACAACAACCACCATCAGCCTCATCAACAACGCAGGGCTCTGATTGGCCACGGATTGATGAGGTCACACACTCACCTTGTCGTAGAAGTCAAAGTTCTTCCGAGCGAGCGCGATCTGCTTCGGAGACGGTTCCTGCCAGACAAACCAGGTTCATGTGGAGAGACGAGAAGCTGGTTTAGTTCTCAGTCGGGGGGGGGGGGGGCTCTAGACATAAAATACCTTTGATACTACTTATGGCAGCAGTATTAGTAACTGAAGAAGGCGGGGGGGGGGGGGGGGGGGAGTAGTTGTACTAGCAGTAGTAGCAGTATTAGTAGTACTGCGTGCGTTCATCAATAGAAACCAGGAAACACTGAGATCAACAGGAAACCAAAGCTGCAGATCCTCCATCTGTACTCTCAGACCTCCTCCAGGTGACCCACATCACAACAACCAGGACCTGGTTCTCACACACACAGGTTCAGGTGGAGGAGCCCTGTGTCTCCATCAGGTCTGCCTCTGATCAGTCAGTCAAAGCTCCGAGTATTTACTGAAGACTGCTGTCACAGACCTGATGCAACGAGGTCTCACTGGTCCTCTCTGGAAACCCTGTTCACTCAGAGGAGGGGGGGCACTCAGGTCCTGTACTGCAGTGAAAGTACTCAGGTCCTGTACTGCAGTGAAAGTACTCAGGTCCTGTACTGCAGTGAAAGTACTAATACCACAGAGTAAAAGCCAGCTGCTGGGTCCTGTTCTGTACCGCTGGCAGGTACATGAGGTGGAGCAGAGAAGAAAGTACTTCAATGTGTACTTAAAGTACAGAACCTGAGCAGCACCCAGTGGGCGTTAGAAGGAGCTGCGGCGCCGACAGCCGATTGGCCGCCTGTCTCACCTGGGCCGGTCTGCGTCGTCCCCTCTTGACGAGCTCCAGCAGCAGAGGACAGTTCTTGTTCACCTCAGACTCTGACAGGTCCAGGTCCCTGCAGATCAGGTCCCGGCTGTCCAGGCCGTTCAGCTGCATCGGAGACGGGCCGGCAAACGCCACAGCGGCGGGAGAGACGGGCGAAGAGAAGGCAAAGCAGACTTCAGCACTTCACACAATCGTAATGCTCTCACACACTTGGTCATGTACTTGTACTGCGTCATGTTTTTCTCAGTGTTCTGAACCTTCTTTGGGTCAGCGCCCCCCATCAAAGAAGATGCTGGCCATTTGCCCTGAATGTTGTTGTTTTTTATTGTTATTAAAACACATAACTGAATGACAAACAGCATTTTAATTACATGTGAAAACTAATTCTATTTAACTAATAAGTGAAGGTTCCTCCCAGAAACTGTGTGTGAAGCCAGAGTCTGGTTTCCAGGATGGGCACTTAGTAAGTGGGGGGTATGGGACACTTAATATCCTGCAATCTGGTGGAAATGTCCCACTATATAAACTTGAATTTCTTAAAGGAAAGCCTCTTGAGATGCATCATCTCATTTTCAAGAGGGTCCTAAATGGAATTCAGCTGGCAGGCGATTCAAAATATGTAAATATAATAGAATATAATGTAGTGAGGCTCTCAGGCGTTCTTTATGGCTTTGAATATCATCCCTGCTGAGTCAACACACGTGGTTAAGTCTCACCTACTCTTTTGTGGGGAAGTCACCTATTTAAATGTGTTTGTGGCCCCTTTTCATCTCAGTGATAAAGTAATCTGTTTTGATCCAGGCACTGACTTTATTAGCTCATCTGTTAATAACTTGCTGTATTCTAACATTAACTCAGCTCTCCTTACATGCTTGCTAATAACTTTTAATAGCTGGGTCTCCGACATTGACGGCGTTGTGTTGGACAGATTTGTGCAGCTGTGTTCACCAGGAAGAGAGAGAGAGGGACGAGCGAGGGAATACGCAGTCAGCTCTGCAGCTCAATAGGATTTTAAATAGGCCTAGTAAAAAAACATCAAAAATCAACATGTGGCGGTCAGCGTTGATATTGTGCCACAAATAAATGAACGTATGGGAAACACTAACTTATCTGCTCAAAATCCACATTCAGAACCTCTCCCACGTATCTGTGTTCTGACGTGAAGAAAAAGCGTCGTAATATTAGGAGACTAACGTCATTAGCCTAATTAAAGAGAATTCATAATATTTCACTACATGCCCTTTACTGCATTATGTTACTGGGAGTATCCTCTCGACTGTCTGACAGAACAGAACTGGATGAGACCAGGTACTCATGCAGGAGGAAAGCGAAACTAACCAACACCTGTGATCAGGCAGAAATCTCACAAATAACTTCAGCACCTCTGATAAAGTGCCGCTTACAATCCTCAACAGAGCAAGACAGATTCAGTTTTAACGTTACATTACATTTATTCATTTCGTTATCTGGCTGTCAGGTTGTCTGGCTGTCAGGTTGTCTGGACGTCTGGCTGTCAGGTTGTCTGGACGTCTGGACGTTTGGTTGTCTGGACGTCTGGTTGTCTGGACGTCTGGACGTTTGGTTGTCTGGACGTCTGGTTGTCTGGACGTCTGGATGTTTTGTTGTTTGGTTGTCTGGATGTTTGGTTGTCTGGATGTTTGGTTGTTTGGTTGTCTGGATGTTTGGTTGTCTGGATGTTTGGTTGTCTGGACGTCTGGATGTTTTGTTGTTTGGTTGTCTGGACGTCTGGATGTTTTGTTGTTTGGTTGTCTGGATGTTTGGTTGTCTGGATGTTTGGTTGTTTGGTTGTCTGGATGTTTTGTTGTTTGGTTGTCTGGATGTCTGGATGTTTTGTTGTTTGGTTGTCTGGATGGCTGGTTGTTTGGTTGTCTGGATGTTTGGTTGTCTGGATGTTTGGTTGTCTGGATGTCTGGATGTCTGGTTGTCTGGATGTCTGGTTGTCTGGATGTTTGGTTGTCTGGATGTTTGGTTGTCTGGATGTCTGGATGTCTGGTTGTCTGGATGTCTGGATGTTTGGTTGTCTGGTTGTCTGGATGTTTGGTTGTCTGGATGTTTGGTTGTCTGGATGTTTGGTTGTCTGGTTGTCTGGATGTTTGGTTGTCTGGATGTCTGGATGTTTGGTTGTCTGGATGTTTGGTTGTCTGGATGTTTGATTGTCTGGATGTTTGGTTGTCTGGATGTTTGGTTGTCTGGATGTTTGGACGTTTGGTTGTCTGGATGTTTGGACGTTTGGTTGTCTGGATGTTTGGACGTTTGGTTGTCTGGATGTTTGGACGTTTGGTTGTCTGGATGTTTGGACGTTTGGTTGTCTGGATGTTTGGACGTTTGGTTGTCTGGATGTTTGGACGTTTGGTTGTCTGGATGTTTGGACGTTTGGTTGTCTGGATGTTTGGACGTTTGGTTGTCTGGATGTTTGGACGTTTGGTTGTCTGGATGTCTGGATGTCTGGATGTTTGGTTGTCTGGATGTTTAGACGTCTGGATGTTTAGACGTTTTGTTGTTTGGTTATCTGGATGTTAGTTAGATGTTTGGAGCGCTGCAGTGTTTCACATTGTTGTAATTCCTTTCAGTCGGTCGGTGGTGTGAACAGAAACCTGAAGACAGTAACAGCCACAGACCACAGAGACGCTGAGTCACACTGACTCCAGATCAGATCTGAACACTCACCGAGTTGATCTCCGGCTGGAACACGGCCAGGGTGAAGTCCAGGTTAAAGACCTGCAGGAAGTCCAGGATCAGGCTGGCCACCAGGCGGCCTGCAGAGAGGAGAAACCGGTTCAGACTGACACCTGAACCACATGAGGCCCGAGGACGCCAGCACAGCAGCACTGACTGAGGTTACAGTAACACAAACAACAAAGAGCCGTCCCCAGAACAAAGACCAGGAACCACGAGCCACAGAGACGCCTCCTACAGGCAGACTGCAGAGAGGGGTCCAGATCAGGACAGTTACTAATCAATGTGGATTCAGCCATCGCTGACTAACTGAGCTGAGAGGAAGAACCTGAACACCTGTTGTATATTATACTATATTGTATATTATAAGACCAGATATTAGGGTACACGTTATCACTACGTTACCTCCTGTACTAAACTACTGTTATTACTGTCATACTAAAGTATATTTATTACATTTCTATTATATTTCATTTTTAATACAAACAGTAAGTATAATTACTTCATCATATCATATATTACTCTATAACACCCTGTCTGTTTCCACTTTTCTGTTTATCTGAACTTAGTAACAGCAAAGAGAATACTCCACCTACTGCCAGAATACTCCACCCTACTGCCAGAATATGTGAAAATACTCCACCGTACTGCCAGAATACTCCACCCTACTGCCAGAATACTCCACCCTACTGCCAGAATACTCCACCCTACTGCCAGAATATGCAGAGTACTGCCAGAATATGGAGAGTACTGTGAGAATACTCCACCGTACTGCAAGAATATGTGAAAATACTCCACCGTACTGTGAGGATACGCAGAGTACTGTGAGGATATTCAGAGTACTGTGAGGATACGCAGAGTACTGTGAGAATATGCAGAGTACTGTGAGAATATTCAGAGTACTGTGAAAATACCCGACTATCTGAAGTAGGACTACACTGCAATGCATTCTGGGTAAAATAAGCCGCTCAGTGCAGTTTGGCCCGGTGGAAATAACGTGTTTGTTGAAGCAGATTAATAATTACTGGGAGATTTTATTTGGAACATTTAGCAGAGAGTTTGGTAAAAAAACAGGAAACAGCGTCAACCCGAGCGCTGAGCGGAGCGTCAGAGACGTACGGAGAAGATCCAGGAGGAGGCCACAGCTGATCCATGTGTCAGGAGAGCTTCCTGGGTAACGACACCGGAGGAGCCGTTTCCCTTTTCTGCCTGTTTGTAATGCGACTGGTTGTTACTGTCGGTTACCATGGTAACATCCAATCTCAGACTCTAAGTTAGCCCGGGGGCCAGGGGTCTCACTGTTCTGGTCTCGGTTTCTGTGAACCAGTCCAAGTTGCATCGGAGCAGTCCAGATCCGCAGACCGGTCCGGTCTGACGCCGCTCTGTGAACAAGCTCTTCCTTCCTGTCCCCCTTTAACCTTTTCTCTTATTTCTTTATTATCATTTAGTTTGTTCCTCTATATTTTTAGATTTTACTGCTGCAACACGAACCGCTCAGGACGGCGAGGCATCGAGTGCTGTTCCAAGCGGCTCCAACGACCTCTTCCTGTCTCGCCTTCAAACTGAACTGCCTGTTACCCATAAAGCAGCACGGCTGCGGCCGCTGTAGCTGTTCAAGATGGCGACAAACAAAAGTTTGTCGCAGTTTTCTCGTTTCGATTCCTGAAAAGTTAGCGAGAACTAAACCCTGAACTGTCACATCAGCCGACCGGAACCAAGCGAGTTGTTCAGAATGAGCTCTGAGGCGTCTGTCGGCCGTTTGATCGAGTGAAACTGGCAGAAAAGCTCCTTCTGATCGTCCAAACTAATGAACTCATCTGCTGCTGAAATGTCAGCAAACAGATAAGTCGCCCCCCCCCCGGGCCCAGGTGCTGGTTCCACTGCCAACTAGAACCCCTCAGAGAACCCTCTGCAGCCTGGATCCCCAGGTGCTGCTGGATGTGTCTGATGGCCCCACAGCTCCACCCTGTGCTGACAGGCAGGAACTGCACCCCCTCCTGACACCTGAGAGACGGTGGGGGGGGTCAGGGACTCACCGTCTCTGCTGAGGAGACTCTTCTTCAGGTTCTCGTTGATCAGAGGAGTTTTGTTCTGCAGGAACATGAAGAACAAAGTTAACAGGAGCTCCGGAGAGACGGCGCCGGCTCCCGTCCTGACGGTAACCCTCACCTCCAGTTTGTCCTGCTCGTCCATCGCCAGGAACACCGCCGCCCTCATCTCCGCCTGCAGGAACACGGACAGGTTACCTCCCGTAACGGCCTCACAGCCACATCACATGACAGCTCAGTACGGCCCCGTCACATTCAGCGCCACGCCAGGAGGCGGAGTCTGCACTGAGCATCTAAACCCCTCCAGTCCAGCGGAAACCCCGTATCTCCAGGCCTTACTGAAAACCTGCAGGAGGAAGAGTTCCTTCATGTGCCGAGGAAATCCTCCTCCAGCCGAAGAAACTCTTTAAACCTCCTCACAAAGGAGGCTCTCACAGGACCCGCGGCGCTCCCATAGACCATGATGCACTGCTGCAGATTAAACTACCCGGCAGGGCGTAAAGGAGCTCAAATGCAGCAGGATTATTAATCCAGAAGCATCAGATCGAACAGAGAAACATTTAACTGGTATCATACTCATAATACTCATGTACTTTTACTTCAGTCAGGTTTTCACAGAGTATCATCCAGATCTGGACCAGAATCATCCGGAGAGGATCCGGGTCGCTTCAAACACAGCTGGTCAACACAAACTGCATTTTTACCCCAGACAGAATGAAAGTTTAATAATCTGGCAGCTGTGTTTTAAATGAACCGGATCCTCTCCGGATGATTCTGGTCCAGATCTGAAGCTGCAGGTAAAACGGTTTCTGATCTGGACCTGAGGGTCTGCAGAACCGGAAGCTAACGTGCTAACTTGGTATTAGTACTTTTACTGAAGTACAGCGCGTGAGTACTTGTACACAAACGGCGTTTCTTTCAGAAACATCACGTCAGCAACATTTAGTTCACGCAGCATTAGCCTCCCAGCTAACAGCTAGCGACACTTCCGGCTGAAACCCCGTTTAAAATCGCAGTGTAGCTAACATTAGCCTAGCCTAGCCTAGCCTAGCCTAGCCTAGCCTGGACTGGACTGGCGGTTTTAGAGTCTGGACCTTGAGCTTGTTGAGGACTCCGCTGTTCTCCAGGTTCTGGATCAGCAGGTCCCGCAGCTCGGTGTCGTCCTCTGTGGCTGACATGTTTAACTGAAGCTGCCGGGACACAAAACAAACCGCAGGAAGTCTTCTTCTTCTTCTTCTGCTGCTTCTTCTTCTGCTGCTTCTTCTTCTGCGGTGGAATGTCCGCTCGCTCACTGCCGCCCCCTCTGGGCGGAGTGGGCCAGGACGGGGTCGCAGTGGTCCTGAGACTTTTTCACATCAGGGGCCCCTAAAGTGACACAAAGTAGACCACGGACCCCACTTTGATAAGAACTCGTCTTTTAGATGTTTTATTAGTGAGTGAAACTACAACAACAGTCCCCCTGGGACCCCTCAGGGACCCCTGGTGCTCCCCGGACCCCACTTTGAGAACCACTGTTTTAAAGAGTGTGACGCCTGTGAGCAAAGGAAACAATATTTATTTATTTATATACACGATCTAAAATCATTTCCAAGATGTTAAGATTTAAACTGTGTCCTTTATATCTAAAGTCATTTATGGTAATAATTTATCCAAATGAACACTTTGTTGAAGTTTCTCTGTTTTCCTGATCAAAGGATCAGACACGTGGGACTACGTGGACTGGTTGTTGTGTTTAGGACCAGGACCCATCCGGGGTCTGAGCTCCTTGTTTATCTGGGGAATCAAAAACGTGAGAAGGAGTTCATGTTTATTTACATGAGAGCAGCTGACTGACAAACAGCTTTCTCTAAAAGCTCTGAGAGTATTAATGAAATAAAAAGACTCCATGTGAACAGGAATAAAAGGAGGAGTGAGGAGGGGGAGGGGGAAAGGGAGAGGATAAAGGGGGAGGGGCCCATTGTCCCCTACTCCGTCCAACTACTACAAAGTTATGTTGGGAGGAAGAGGAGGAGGAACAGAAGGAGAGAGAGGAGGAAGAAACAAAGGTGAGAGGAGGAGGATAAAGGAATAAAAAAAGGACCAACAGAGATGGATGTGAGGGGGAACTCAGAGGGAGGAGGGGGAGACAGACAGAGCGGGTGAGGAGGAGGAGGAACAGGAAGAAGAAGAGGAGGAAGGAGCATCAGCAGCAGCAGGACACACAGATCACGGAGCCTCCGCCGCCGCCTCTGAGCTGCTGCAGCCGGACACAGAAGCAGCAGACCGGCCGCAGACACGGAGCCATGGCCGCTGAAGGCAACCCATCCACGGCCTGCACCGGCTCCAGCCTCCTGCAGCCCGTCAGCGAGATCACCAACCTCCCGCTGGACCAGGTAAGATCCGCCGGGACGTCTGCTCCACACCACCCGGGCCTCGGAGCTCCGGAGCTCCGGGGCTCCGGGACTCCGAGGCTCCGGGGCGGAGACCGGCCGCTGGTCCCCCCGCACACAGGGCGGTAAATGCGACACGTACGGCCGAAGCGAGGCGGATCAGACGGGCGGTGCAACGACGGCGGGTCCAAGATGGATGGAGGCCTCGTATCGGTGCACACAGTCAGAGAGAAGCAGAGTGGGGCTGCACAGGGAGCGGGGTGGTGGTGGTGGAGGAGGTGGAGGAGGAGGAGGTGTGGGTGGCAGCCTGTGGAGGAGCTTTTTATTCAGACCTGGAACATGAAACAGCAGCGCGCGCTCTCTGATGTAATGTCCGTGATCAGCTGCTGGATCACAGGGTCCTAATTTACTGTCTGAAGGAGGGGCCCCCAGAGAAAATATATACATCAGGCCTGTTGTTGGATTATTAGTCTGTCAGAAAGACAAAGGGCGGTCAGAGCTCAATCTGACACAATCAATAGGCCCGAAGCCTGAGATGGAATTTAATGCTGCTTTATGCACAGTTCAGAGGAACATATTTGTTTAGCCTCCAGGACAGCTGGAGGCCACAGCTCATTTACCAGCTTCTAATAATTTGATCATCTTATAAAATAAGTGCTTTATCAAACAGGTTCAAAGTTCAAATGATCCCATATTTCACTAAAAGTCAGTCAGCAGAGGAAAGTCCAGGCAGTGAGCAGAACTTTCTCCTCCTCTCCTGTTCCTTTTGTTTAGTTTGTGACCCCGTGCAGGGGCCCGACCCCTACGCTGGGAACACAGACTGCATGGACGTAGCTGAGAGCGTAATATAATTTAAACTGGGAGTTATATAAAAATTCACCCGTTTACAGCCGCGGCACGAAGAAATCAGCTGTAGAGACCAAAACTGTAGTAACTTTTTATTAGATACCAGTACTTCCACTAGTTACTAGTAACTTTATTTTAGTTTCTAATAAGTAATTGCAATTTTTGCCATTGAATCTTTGGACTCTGCAGTTCAGATATCACCTCTTCATTAGTTACTGCTACTAACTTCTTCTTCCATTTTACTATAGTATTTAGATACTAGTACCCATTCAGAAGTCACTACATTTTCATTTCTACTAGTCATTTATTGGGTTATTCATTCATTAATAACTGGTAAACTGGAAATGTTCATAGTAACTATTCAGTTAGTTACTAGTAACTAATGAATAAGTGATATCTGAACTGCAGAGCTCCATAGATTCAGTGGGAAAATGTGTAATTATTGTCACTAATAAATAGTTATTAGTAGCCTAAAAATGAAGTACTACTATCTAATCAGTTGTTACTAGTAACTAATAAATAAGCACTAGTAGCTTTAAAATAGCTAGTAGCACGTTTTAAGGAATGAATGTTAAAATGGACGGACATAGGTTGGCGCTTGGTTGGGAACCTCTTGAATAAACTAGCTAGCAGTATATAAAGCATGTATATACTGTACTGTACTGCACTGCACTGTACTGCGCTGTGCTGTACTGCGCTGTACTTTACTGCGCTGCACTGTACTGCACTGTACTGTACTGCACTGTACTGCGCTGTACTTTACTGCACTGTACTTTACTGCACTGTACTGTACTGCACTGTACTGTACTGCACTGTACTGTACTTTACTGCACTGTACTGCACTGTACTTTACTGCACTGTACTTTACTGCACTGTACTGTACTGCACTGTACTGTACTTTACTGCACTGTACTGCACTGTACTTTACTGCACTGTACTGCACTGTACTTTACTGCACTGCACTGTACTGCACTGTACTTTACTGCACTGTACTGTACTGCACTGTACTGTACTTTACTGCACTGTACTGCACTGTACTGTACTGCACTGTACTGTACTGCACTGTACTTTACTGCACTGTACTTTACTGCACTGTACTGTACTGCACTGTACTGTACTGCACTGTACTGCGCTGTACTTTACTGCACTGTACTGCACTGTACTGCACTGCACTGTACTGCGCTGTACTGTCCTGCACTGTACTGCGCTGTACTTTACTGTACTGCACTGCACTGTACTGCGCTGTACTGTCCTGCACTGTACTGTACTGCGCTGTACTGTACTGCGCTGTACTGCACTGCACTGTACTGTGCTGTACTTTACTGCACTGTACTGTGCTGCACTGTACTGCGCTGCACTGTACTGTGCTGTACTTTACTGCACTGTACTGTACTGCGCTGTATTGTACTGCACTGTACTGTGCTGTACTGTACTGCGCTGCACTGTACTGTACTACAGCGTAGATTCAGAAGTATAAATGTGCCTTTATAGGAGACATTTTATTGCACAACCAGTACTTTTCCTGCCGGTACTTTAACTACAGGAAGTACTTCTGTACGTTTACTTTAATAGGATTATGAAATTCGAGACTTTTACTTCTCATGCAGTATTTTTATATGAATGTCAACACCAGCTGATTCATCAGGTGTGTCTCTGGGTGGTTTTCAGTGTAACGGGTAGACGTTCTGTGCTCTGATTGGCTGAGGGCCAGGCCTCCGGTCACTGATGAGGCAGATGAAGGATGAGGATCCTGCTGGATCAGGTGATCCACATCGTTAATTCTCCTCAGACATTCTCTGAATCAGTAAAGATAGAGATCTACAAGTGACAACAGATACTAGTAAGAGCTGTTAGCAGCATCCGTGGGAAGAAGCAAGAGTTAACACAAGAGACCTGTAAGGAGACAGAAGAAGTAGAGCACAGGAAGTGAGAGTCTAGAGGTTTTATCAGAGGAACATTTGTGCCGATGAAAAGACAGACAGGCTGCTGAGTTCTGAACCATTTGTAGGGGTTTCACTGCACAAGCTGGAAGACCTGCTAGGAGGGCAGAGAGGTAACCATGGCCTGTACCAGAAGCTGGGTGGCGTACTGAGTGAGACAGGGCCTGATTTTAGAGCAAAGCGGCACGACCGAGAGACAGCAGCAACATGGTCTGAAAAGGACAGCTGGTCATTAATCATGGAGTTTCTCACCACCCTGGTTGGAGTGATGGTTGAGGAGGCAGTTTGTAGTTTGATGTTATGGTGGATAGATTGCTTGGCTGGAATGACCAAGAGTTCAGTCTTAGAGAGGTTTGGTTGAAGGTGGCGAGACTTCATCCATGCAGATATGTCTGATAGACAGTCCTTGATCCGCGCCGAGACGGTGGAGTTGTCTGGCGGGAAGGATAGGTAGAGTTGTGTATCGTCTGCGTAGCAGCGGTAAGAGAAGCTGTGCGAGTGAATGATCGGCCCCAATGAGGTGGTGTAAATTGAGAAGAGAAGTGGCCCTAGCACTGAGCCTCGGGCCCCCCTGTGGAGAGGCAGGATCTTTGCTCCTCCATCATTCTGTCCGGAGCCCATTAGTCACAGCTGAGTTTCTAATTAACTCCAACGTCTCGCCTGTTATTTAACGGAGGCCGTCGATGCTTGAGGGAGCAGACGAGGAGGAAACATCAGTGTTCTCCGCCTCAGCGGCGTCAGAGCGTCAGACTGTGATCGCTCGGTTTACAGCACGTTCATTATTAATGAACAACAAGCGCCACCCGGATCAGATGTTACGCTGACACTCACTCTGTGGTGTCACCGTTTCAGCTGCCGTCAGTCTGAAACACAACACAGTCCCACACAACCCAAACAAGGAAACCCAACACTGCCTGTGATGGGCTCAGCCTGACAGGACGGACCCAGGGCACAGCCGCCCCTGGAGAAAGTTCAAGGGGTCAGAAAGTGAACAGGAGGATTTAGAAAGTTAAATAGAGGTCATGGTTAGATTCAGACCTTTATTTTGATGTGGAATCAGCAGGTTTACAGGGACGGAGGCTGG